CTTTCAGACAGTACATCCATTAGACTTTTCGAGTAAAACAGAACTAAGAACCTAAAAAAAAGATTTCAATTAATGTTATTATAGCTGCCTGTTTAATGAATTGTAAAATCCAACTGTTCAATGTAGAATCTATTGTGTGCTTAAATGGCTACAGACACAACTGAAAGCTAGTATACCAAACATTGGGAGAGTAAACCGTTGTTATGAGTAATCTATCTGTAAACTTCATTCTTGAATGTACTATTTCGGCAACTGTCATAAAAGTAAATACAACATTGTCATTAGGATTTGTAGTCAGATGTATTAAGTATTGCTATGCTGACATGCTTCTTTGTCAAGATCAGTGACTAATTTGTGGCTATAGAAATGAGTTTTACTTTCTTATAAGTTTGTTACTTAAATCTAGAAGCTCAACAATGAAACTTATCATTATATAGGGGATTTTAAACAATGAGGAGACCATTACTCATTGGTTAAACACCTAATAAGAGACTAACCCCACCTGCTATTCATGGGTGCTTGTCTATAATACAGGTTTAAGATGTATTTAAATTTTACTCACTGCTAGCTAACTCCACTCTCCTGTGTACAGAATATTATGCTAGGGTAATAATAATAATAATAATACAAATAATACAAATCTAGGGGCTGACTTATTGTAGTATTGCATGCTGCTCTGATGATTTCAAACATTGCAGTCAACATAAGGTAGATTTAAAGAAAACATATTTTCCACTGGACTTGATTGAAGTGTGAAAGAAAACAGGGATTTACAAAATGCAAACCAGTTGCTGATATATAATACACTGTATGTATAAATGTAAAGGTCATCATGAATTTGTATGCTAAATGAATAAATGAACAGTGTAATTACGTTATCACAAGCATAGTGTTTATCACTTACTTTATTATGTTAAATTCTACACTTTTAGTAGAGGTAAATCAGTTTGTGATAAAAGCTTGTTTTGTACCTAGCGAAAGATGGTGTCAAATGTATCCTGGCATGACCACAGCGGGTATCTAGCAAGAGCCGGAAGGGGAAGGACAAACATTATAAGGACTTGATGGCTCTCTTCTCTAGGTACAAATGCCACTCTGCTACTACCATCCACCCAACCAGCAGCACTACAGATACCCAGCAGCTGCAGACAACCCTTACAAGGACTTGGTGACACTCTTCACTTGATACAAATAAAATGCCACATTGTTACTATCATGTACCCAGCAGCTGCGTTACAGGTACTGGACAAACCTTATAATGACTTGTATATACTCTTCTCTAGGTAAAAATGCCACACTGCTACTACCATCCACCCACGCAGAAGCAACACAGGTACCCAGCAGCTGCATTACAGGTACTAGACAAACCTTTTAAGGACTTGGTGATGTTCTTCCCTACATGTAAAATGCAACATTCTTACTACCATCTACCCAGCAGCTGCAGTACCGGTACACTCCGTGTGAATTTGTTACACTATTGTGCAAAATCACAGCAGGTATGTAGAAGCAGTTGGAGAGGAAGGGAAAGAACAACCCTTATAATGACTTGGTGACTCTCTTGCTTAGATACAAATGAAATGCCACATTGCTAGTATCTTTCACTTAGGAGCTGCAGTACAGGTACACTTCATGTGGATCTGTTAAAGCATTGTCTAAAATGTATTCTGTTATGATCGCAGTGCATATATGGAAACAGTTGTGAAAGGAAGAGGAAGGACAAACCTAATATGGACTTGGTGACTCTATTCCTTAGATACATATTAAATGTCAAATTGCTACTATCATTCACCCAACAGCTGGAGTACAGGTACACTTCATGTGGACTTGTTAAACGATTGTGTAAATGAACCCTGGTATGATCACAGTGGGTATCTAGAAGGAGCTGAGAGAGAAAGGGGAAGGGCAGACCTAATAAGGACTTGATGACTCTCTTTTACAAATGAATTTCCACATTGCTATGACCATCTACCCAACATCTGCAGTACAGGTACACTTCATGTGGACTTGTTAAACTATTATGTAAAATGTATCCTGACATGATCATAGTGAATATCTAGAAGGAACTGGGAAAGGAAGAGAAAGGGCAAACCTAATAAGGACTTGGTGACTCTCTTGCTTAGATAGAACTGAAATGCCACATTGCTACTACCATCCACCCAGCCAGCACCACTACACATACCCAGCAGCTGCCGTACATGTACCTTTATAATGATAATACTTAAGTTCTCCCTTTCACAGCAGGCTATGCATTAGCCTACAAATGTAATTACACTAGACTGCTACACATGGGTTCAATGGGTCATATATCACCTCAATATATTGCTGAGAGATATATAACATATTGCTATCTAGTCTCGCTGTTCTTGACTAGATTTGACTATTCTTTTCTGTCTGGAGCCTATTGATTTCCTGCTGCACACAGTCACTGACGTACAGGTTAATAATACTATTAACATTATTACAGATCAGAAGGATCTACTGTGAAGGAGCAGTAATTGATCTATCAGCGGGATATATGCTTGCCGTAATGAGATAAAGTCATAAATTAAGCTACAATCTCTGCAATGATTTTGTGCTAGGTGTAGATGAAATATTATATTGCTACAAGCTCTGGAAAGCCTTACAAGAAGTAATCTATGCCAATATATGACTAACCTAAGAATACTATTAACCCTCCATGCCACATTGAGAGCAGTGGCTGAAAATAGCAGGAACCAGGGGAACTACAAGTCCCAGCATTTTGGTTAGCAATGTTGGGATCAGGCAATGCAATGTACAATTGATAGTAAGTCCAGTTGGGTACAACAGAGACGGAGAGGAGGGAGATCAGAGAGAAAATTTCATAGATGGATGGCTGACAATATAATAATATTCTGGAACTAATGCATGGCCCATTCTTTCACCCAGAATACAATATATTAGCATTGTGCTCTAGTTTGTCGCATTTTTGTCACCTTGAGCCTGTCCAGTTGCTCTCATTAAGATTCAGTAGATCAACCCTATCGGAGCCCCCAGTTTCTATTGCCTAGCACTTTGTGGTTGTGGAATTCACATTATTATCACCTTCAGCACGCCTGGCTAGCATCAGATGCACCATAGACAGCCTTCTTCCTTGGATCTGACAATACTGTCATCGGATCTCTGCCTAGGGAATTGTCTTATTGAGCAATTGAGATTTATTATCTAAATGTGCTTAAAACCATATCAGCGAGAAGTCAAGTCAAATGAAATCACAGCAGGGCTTTTAAGCATGCCACCAGCATCACTCCCTCCCATCCGTGTGTGTGTGTGCCTTCTGAGCACCAGTCTGCCTTTACCTGTTAATTTCCCCTATACACAATTATGTATAACATAGAGTTATCTAGGAGACCGTGCAATGCAAAGAAAATCTATCTAAAAGCCTCCATACATAGCACGATGCATTGTAATAAATGACAGCTCAACATGCAGTAAAAATAACATAAGCAGGATTTTTCATAGGGCAACAAACAGGGTAAAAACTGCAGCAACTAATCATCAGCATTTTTTCAAGGTTCTTACTGAAGAAAAGTAGAATATGATTGACCGATATGGGTCCTTGAAATCTGCAGATCGTCATTGCCCTGTCTACACACAGTCAGATTATACTTAGACTTGATCAGCAAAATGTACCAGCAAGGAGTAGTGCAAGGCCCATATATGATTAGCTATAGACGATTGTTTGGGTAAGATTGTTTGGGTAAGCTCTGGCATCTATATAAAACATATTTGACTATCTGATTGGATGAAGACTGAAAAGATTTATTTAGTACGCCTTGGCACTATATAGATATAGGTAGACAGAATCATATTCTACTATCTGATTTGTTGTAGACTGAAAAGATTGCTCAAGTAAGCCTTGGCACTGTAGAGATATAGGTAGAGGCGGATTCTACTATCTGATTGGTTATGAACTGAAAGGATCCTTTGGGTAAACCCCAGCACTGTAGCTGATTTTACTATCTGATTGGTTATAGACTGAAAAGATTGCTTGAGTAAGCCTTGGCACTGTATAGATATGGGTAGATAGAAGCAGATGCTACTATCTGATTGGCTATAGACTGAAAAGATTGTTTGGGTAAGCCCTGGCACTGCATATAAAAGAAGATTCTACTATCTGATTGGACATGGACATAGACTGAAAATATTGTTGAATACTCTAAAACTGTAGAACCAGATTACACTATGTGATTGACCATAGATTGAACAGATTGTTTGGGTAAACCCTGGCACTGTATATAACAGCAGATTACTATATGATGGGCTATAGATGTTTTGGGTAATCTCTGGCACTGTATATAAAAGCAGATTACTATATATGGGATATAGATTGAAGAGATTATTTGGGTAAACCCTGGCACTGTATATAAACTCAGATTACCATATGAAGGGCTATAGATTGAAGAGATTATTTGGGTAAACCCTGGCACTGTATATAAAAGCAGATTACTATATGATGGGCTATAGATTGAAAATGGTATTTGGGTAAACCCTGGCACTGTATATAAAAGCAGATTACTATATGATGGGATATAGATTGAAGAGATTATATGGGTAAGCCCTGGCACTGTATATAAAAGAAGATTACTATATGATGGGCTATAGATTTAAAATGTTATTTGGGTAAACCCTGGCACTGTATATAAAAGCAGATTACTATATGATGGGATATACAGTAGATTGAAGAGATTATTTGGGTAAACCCTGGCGCTGTATATAAAAGCAGATTACTATATGATGGGCAATAAATTGAACAGATCGTTTGGGTAAATCCTAGCACTGCATAGAGAAGCAGATTACTATATATGATGGGCTATAGATTGAAGAGATCGTTTTGGTAAGCCCTGGCACTGCATATAGAAACAGATTCTACAATCAGATTGTACTTTGTATGTCCAATACTAAAGATGCACATTTCAATTGGCATAGGTCAGCGATGCTAGTCTAGAGGTACAGTGTGCTATATAGAGGATGGTACCTACATGTCAGTGATGTTCTCAGCCTGGGAGAGGTTCTTCAGCACTGGGAAAGCTCCAATGCCTGGTGTCTTGTCACATGCGATCCTAGTGGAGTTACAAGTGCACGAGTCAGGACAGGCCAGTCCCCTCCACAATAAGACCAGCAAGATCCAGCAAGCGCCCCACACCTGGGCTAAATCGGGGCCAGCTAACCTTTTCCAAAGGCCCATACCGGCTGTCAAGTCCAGGGAACACCCTTGGCAAGCGAGGCAAATCCTCCTCCAATCCCCAAAGCTGACTGCGATGTCTCTCGTTGCGATGCACAGCTGCCCGTTAATATAGAAGCGTGTATGAAGTCATAATCCTCAGCAGGAAGAAATCACAGTCTTGTCGTTATGTAATGCAGACCATCGTTGGGAGGGGGTATGGGAGGTCTAGGGTCACCTATAGGCTGCCAGTCCCAGGGATGCTGAGGCTGAGCGTCTCCAGGGAACGAGCAGCGTTGGTACACTGAGATGCTGCTGTTGCTAACGCTCCTCAGATCTCTCTCCCTCTCTCTCTCTGCAAGGAAAAAAAAAGAGAGCACACACAGATAAAGAGGGATACATCGGATCTACAGCTCCTAGAGGTAAACATTCAGGTAGCAGCCCCCATCATCCCAATCCAGAAGAGCCCACATCATCGTGGTGATAAAAGCTAGCCCCTGACTCATCATTGGACATGCTGCATCACTCGCACGATGCTCACACTTGCAATCGCTCTGCCATATGAATGCACTCACCCAGCTTCCCAACACCTCAAGGCATCATTTCTCTGCTGCTGCTGCTGATGATGATGCTGAATACCAGAACACTTACTTGCATGGGCAACTGTTTACATGGCACTGAGTTTAGAAGGTAACTGGAATGGCCATTGCTGCCTTGACGAGAGCTGACTAGGACGCAGCTTCCATACAGATCAGATCACTATGCCATATATACTCATCAGCAGCAATGGGAAATGAAGTCTGAGGACAGGTGATGATGATGAGCGGGCAGCAATGCTCCTACCTGGGAGGGCTGCACTGATCCCAGCTCCTTCCCCTATAGAGAGAGAGAGATGGATGGACAGCTAGATGGCTGTGCACTGGCTGTCGGAGGGATCCAGTCTCTGCTATCGTCTTTTCACACAGTACTGTCTCCAGTGCTAATAATAAGTGGAGCTTCTCCCTCCCATCCCCATGCCAATAGCTGGGGAAGAAGAAGTGACGTTAGCGCTGACGCAGGACAGGGGCAGAAACGAAGTCTCATAGAGCCCAAAGGAGCAAGACAAAGCAACAAGAGGGGGGTACCAGTGGGGGTTTGCCTTCATCAAGACACAATTATGCATGCTCTCCTGCACACACACTCACATATAAACACACACACATACACCCTTTCACATTGCCCTCCAAAAGATTCCTTTTTTTTTTTTTTTTATTACTAAGGTGGCAAAAATGGCTCCATCCATTGCACATGATCAGGTGGTGCAAGCCATCCCAACTACACCTACACAAGACGTGATTGGAATGCAGAGAGCCAACGTTGTTTACCTTGACAATTACATGCCTCTATTAATATTCCCAGCCATCGCACGCTGCCTATTGCTGGGCTAATGCCACACTTCGGACACCCACTTTCATCTGATTCATTACAGAAAATGATCTTTAGAGAAATGTGTTTTATTTTATCCTGAGATCTGAGCCAGTGTGTGTGTGTGTGTGTGTGATGCACTCGTCATGCTAAGGACACGACTTCCATGATCACCTGTCAGGGCATGCCAGCGCTTAAAGGGTTTCTCGATTTTGCATACATCAAATGTGCTTTTGATGTATGCAAAATTGTATTATTGGGCGTAGTGTACATGATCGCTGCACGTGATGCTGGTTATATATCGGCATTGCCTGTTCCTAAGTCCTGGTTAGTCATAAATGCACGGCGTTAAAAATGTGTGTCTGGGAATATGGCTTTTCATTTGTGGTTTTGGGAGTTTTTGTTTTCCGCAGTAATTTAAAAGAAGCCGAGAAATCTACCGCATTGACAGGCGATGATGCTCACCGCGGACAGGAGAGCTCTGCTGACCCCATGTGTCCGAATGGTGTACTGCAGCTGGAAAAGACCTTACAAACAAGTGACCTTTATACTCTATGAGAGCAGTCTTTCTCAACTAGGGTTCCTCCTGAGGTTCTTACAGGTTTCTTCATCAGTGACCAATGGCACACTAATGTAAGTGAGCACACCTACACTGATCATTAATGTAAGGGGGCACATCTATAATGGCCACTACTGTAAGAGGGCACATCATGAATGGCCACTACTGTAAGGGGGCACACCTACACTGATCACTAATGTAAGAGGGCACATGTACACTGAACAATAATGTAAGGGGGCACATGTACACTGATTACTACTGTAAGGGGGCACATCTACACTAATCATTAATGTAAGGGGCACATTTACACTGATTACTACTGTAAGGGGGCACATCTACACTAATCATTAATGTAAGGGGCACATTTACACTGATCACTAATGTAAGGGGGCACATCTACACTAATCATTAATGTAAGGGGCACATTTACACTGATTACTACTGTAAGGGGGCACATCTACACTAATCATCAATGTAACGGGCACATTTACACTGATCACTAATGTAAGGGGGCACATCCCCACTGATCATTAATGTAAGAGGGCACATCTATAATGACCACTACTGTAAGGGGGCACACCTACACTGATCACTACTGTAAGGGGGCACACCTACACTGATCACTAATGTAAGAGGGCACATCTACACTGAACACTAATATATGAGGGCACATCTACACTGAAAACTATTGTAAGAGGGCATATCTACACTGAACACAAATGTAAGAGGGCACATCTATACTGATCACTAATGTAAGAGGGCACATCTATAATGACCACTACTGTAAGGGGGCACACCTACACTGATCACTACTGTAAGGGGGCACATCTACACTGATCACTAATGTAAGAGGGCACATCTACACTACTGAGTTTAGAAGGTAACTGGAATGGCCATTGCTGCCTTGACGAGAGCTGACTGGGACGCAGCTTCCATACAGATCAGATCACTATGCCATATATACTCATACGCACAAATGGTAGGGAAATGAAGTCTGAGGACAGGTGATGATGATGAGCGGGCAGCAATGCTCCTACCTGGGAGGGCTGCACTGATCCCAGCTCCTTCCCCTATAGAGAGAGAGAGATGGATGGACAGCTAGATGGCTGTGCACTGGCTGTCGGAGGGATCCAGTCTCTGCTATCGTCTTTTCACACAGTACTGTCTCCAGTGCTAATAATAAGTGGAGCTTCTCCCTCCCATCCCCATGCCAATAGCTGGGGAAGAAGAAGTGACGTTAGCGCTGACGCAGGACAGGGGCAGAAACGAAGTCTCATAGAGCCCAAAGGAGCAAGACAAAGCAACAAGAGGGGGGTACCAGTGGGGGTTTGCCTTCATCAAGACACAATTATGCATGCTCTCCTGCACACACACTCACATATAAACACACACACATACACCCTTTCACATTGCCCTCCAAAAGATTCCTTTTTTTTTTTTTTTTATTACTAAGGTGGCAAAAATGGCTCCATCCATTGCACATGATCAGGTGGTGCAAGCCATCCCAACTACACCTACACAAGACGTGATTGGAATGCAGAGAGCCAACGTTGTTTACCTTGACAATTACATGCCTCTATTAATATTCCCAGCCATCGCACGCTGCCTATTGCTGGGCTAATGCCACACTTCGGACACCCACTTTCATCTGATTCATTACAGAAAATGATCTTTAGAGAAATGTGTTTTATTTTATCCTGAGATCTGAGCCAGTGTGTGTGTGTGTGTGTGTGATGCACTCGTCATGCTAAGGACACGACTTCCATGATCACCTGTCAGGGCATGCCAGCGCTTAAAGGGTTTCTCGATTTTGCATACATCAAATGTGCTTTTGATGTATGCAAAATTGTATTATTGGGCGTAGTGTACATGATCGCTGCACGTGATGCTGGTTATATATCGGCATTGCCTGTTCCTAAGTCCTGGTTAGTCATAAATGCACGGCGTTAAAAATGTGTGTCTGGGAATATGGCTTTTCATTTGTGGTTTTGGGAGTTTTTGTTTTCCGCAGTAATTTAAAAGAAGCCGAGAAATCTACCGCATTGACAGGCGATGATGCTCACCGCGGACAGGAGAGCTCTGCTGACCCCATGTGTCCGAATGGTGTACTGCAGCTGGAAAAGACCTTACAAACAAGTGACCTTTATACTCTATGAGAGCAGTCTTTCTCAACTAGGGTTCCTCCTGAGGTTCTTACAGGTTTCTTCATCAGTGACCAATGGCACACTAATGTAAGTGAGCACACCTACACTGATCATTAATGTAAGGGGGCACATCTATAATGGCCACTACTGTAAGAGGGCACATCATGAATGGCCACTACTGTAAGGGGGCACACCTACACTGATCACTAATGTAAGAGGGCACATGTACACTGAACAATAATGTAAGGGGGCACATGTACACTGATTACTACTGTAAGGGGGCACATCTACACTAATCATTAATGTAAGGGGCACATTTACACTGATTACTACTGTAAGGGGGCACATCTACACTAATCATTAATGTAAGGGGCACATTTACACTGATCACTAATGTAAGGGGGCACATCTACACTAATCATTAATGTAAGGGGCACATTTACACTGATTACTACTGTAAGGGGGCACATCTACACTAATCATCAATGTAACGGGCACATTTACACTGATCACTAATGTAAGGGGGCACATCCCCACTGATCATTAATGTAAGAGGGCACATCTATAATGACCACTACTGTAAGGGGGCACACCTACACTGATCACTACTGTAAGGGGGCACACCTACACTGATCACTAATGTAAGAGGGCACATCTACACTGAACACTAATATATGAGGGCACATCTACACTGAAAACTATTGTAAGAGGGCATATCTACACTGAACACAAATGTAAGAGGGCACATCTATACTGATCACTAATGTAAGAGGGCACATCTATAATGACCACTACTGTAAGGGGGCACACCTACACTGATCACTACTGTAAGGGGGCACATCTACACTGATCACTAATGTAAGAGGGCACATCTACACTGAAAACTATTGTAAGAGGGCACATCTACACTGAACACTAATGTAAGAGGGCACATCTATACTGATCACTAATGTAAGAGGGCACAGCTTTACTGATCACTAATGTA